TACACAGAATACATTTGACAATTCCAATTTAATTGATAACATAATAATGCTGTAAAATGTATAAAAGACATTGTGCTAATGCTTATCCAGCTTGCCATTTTAATCAGCTCACAAGTCACTACCATATAAGTCCTCATAAATAGTTCCTCGATCAGTGATCTCAAATAACTCAAATGTCCACCAGCCTTCAGAAACAAAGGCCACTACTGCCACAATTTATCAAATCAAATATCTGCTGTATACATTATAGCTTATGAATCAATAAGATGACAGTGCTTGACTTTAAAATGAACTGTCTTCTATTATTTCAGTCTCCCTTTCTAAACTGAGTCATTCAGGATGAAAGGCTTAAGTGCCATGCAATTCAGTAAGAACATTAATTAGACAAATTTGCTTTAAACTGAAAGTTTTTTAAACTGAAATTTATTTCAGATGAATGAATGTGTACATGACATTCTAGTACCTGAAAATGAATATGGTGGAACTTAACTTCCTCACTCTGCTCCTTGTTGAGCACTTATTGAGTCCAAGTTTAGATCCACTGGTGTCAATTTCCAGTGCAAGTTAATATTTTCAACCTTCTTTGATACAGATAGTCTAGGACTTGTAATAATTTATTTCAGACTGGCATAATTTTAGCATTGTTGTTTCCCCACTGTGCAGGCATACAAAACATGGTCATGCGAAAATCATCTAGAAAAGATCTAGTTTCCATTCCACACACAAGCTGGGGATTTTTAAATACATATATTTTTCAATTTATTTTTTAAAATGTTACTGTAGTTAAAGGGGGAAAAAAACCAACTGCAAACTCTTTTCCAGAGAAGAGGCAGAAGTAAAAGTTTACTTGATTAGTAAACGCTTATTTACAAAATTACTGGTGAATTTTTTGTCAAATTAATAGTATATGAAGGCAATCAGAGGCCTGATGTTTCAATAATACATGCTTCTGTTTTGTTTTAAGATATTGTGCTAGCTACAATTCAACAAATAGGTGAATAGTCTTTGCTGCTAAATTTCAACTATTACAAGACTTCTGAAGAATCTCAAAGTTTAGAACAGGGTGTCATGTGCCCAAGTGTTATTTAAGGGTAGCATTTAAAAGAATGGGAATGCTTTCTTTATTCTCTTCCTAAATGCTTCACACCAGCACACAACTGTTTCCACTAGTTCAGCAACCCCTCTCCGCACACACAGAGATAACTGGAAAGATGTTCTGGGAAAGAAAAAAAGCAAATCCTGGGGAAATCTGGTGTCAAATAAATAACAGGTGCCCAGGAGCCTGCGTGCACTGAGAGAACACCCTGAGACTCCAAGGAAAGAGCTGAAAGTCCAAACCTAATCTGAGTACAATCTCACTGTGAGTCTAAGTGTTCACTGTTCCCATGTATCTGGATTCCCGCTATCAGTTGGTGAGTGATAAAGGTATTACTGATGTTGACATCGTAGAGATTGCAATCAGTAGTGTAAATATTCCATGTCAAAGGTTACAAAGGCTTAACAGTAATATATTAGGGTATATATTTCATAGTAATCAGTAAGAAAAGTTACTACATGCCACCCAAATTAGATATTACGTATTAGTGAGCTCAGATCTTAATTTTCCAGCTTAGACATAAAACATATAATGACAATACAGATTCACATCATATTTATACATTTGAATGTTGGGTCTTTTATTGGACCTAAAGTTTTCAGTTATGCTTTTATCACTCATGCCCTTTCTCTCTTTTACAGTTCATTTTCAGTCATTCATTTGGGTTCTTTAGATGAAAAATACAGACAATTCCTCAACTATCTAAAGTCATGCTACTCCCCTCTGAAGAAAACAACTCTCCTGGGTTGAGATGCCCAGCTTTTTCCTGGTACCAGGCAAGGCACAACCAATCTCTGTAACATATGATGAGACATCTGCAATATCGGCAATATAGAAACACAAACCATTAGAAAGCCCAGGAGCTGATGAGTATTTATGAAATTAAGACCTGAACTTAAGTGATTGAAGAGAACCCAAGAAGGAAGAATAGGGGTAAAAATTCAAGCTTCTATTTTATTATCTTTCTGAAAATATAATCTATTTCAACAGGGAATTATATACAGAGTAGAGATAATTAAATCCAGACTCTTCCTGCACATATGTAACCCTATCACATACTTGTTTTTTCCACTGGAGTTTAAGACCCTTGGCTCCTGAGTCATCATATATGATAACAGGTCTGCTAAAAGTTCAACATATCTGTGGACCTGGGGGAGTGGAAATTAACTTCATGGTTAATTTCAGCATTCATATAGTGTACTTGCCGGTTCACTCTCTTGCTTTTTTCCTATACATAACTAGATAAAAACAGCTGTGTGTATATGCCATCCACAAACTTCCAGTGCAAAATCTCACACGTAAGCTGTCCTCAGAGCCAAGGACTGAGATGAGGACTGACTCTCCCAACCCCTTCCTGAAGCCACAGCCCACAGGGGCGGTCAGGAGCCCTTTTTGCTAGTCCTATACCCCTTTTGCTGTGTGTGGCAGGTCAGACTGGAGGCACAATGTAGCTCCACATCTGATGATTCCTGATGACACCTGATGACTGCTGTTCGAGTGACGCTTAATGGCACTGTGCCCCTCAGTCTTTGCCTGAGCTCTATCTGCTTCTACACAGCCATAAGTAAACCTCTGAGCTACCCTGTAGAAGAAGCAGCCATCCTTCCTTCATCCCCCTGCTCCAGATAGACTTTCTTCTTCCCCTTGAAAAAAAATATGGCAGAAGCACTTTTATGAGCACATTTCAAGAGACAACAGCAAGTAATCAAAAGGCTTCTCCCAAAATCTCTACAGAGGACAAAGGAGAAGGACACTGACCATTTCCCACTGACCATCCCATTAAATGCCTGCTCCCTTTTGGAAATGCCTGTCACTTCTAAGGGAAAGTAACCACCCAACGCAGGTTTATATGAATTGAGACAGTATCCCAAATCTCTTCATGAATATGGATCTGTAGTGGTTTAAAAGTGCTATTCCCCAATTTAGTGTTCCCACTGAATCACTCCAAACCATGCTTACTACCCACTTCCCCTCCTTCTACCCCCTGCAGCAGGCTGAAGAGGAGAATTGGAGGCACAAAAGGTAGAGATCACAGGTTGAGGTAAGAACAACTTACTGGAAACAGCAATGAAATAAGACAATGAACAGTAACAGCAACAATACTAATGTCAAAGTGTACAAGAAAGAGGAGGATGATTCACATGCTCACCACGCAGAAAACGCATGACAAGATCCAACTGCTCCCTCTGCCACACTGCATAACCCAAAAAAGGTACCCCTTTCTCCATCCCCAGAAAATGACATGAGGTGGTACAGTAACCTCCAGGTCCTAGCCATGCCCACTCCTGGCTACTGCCAAAATTAAACCTTTCCTGTCTAGAGCTAGGACATTATCCACTGCTACTATTTACATCATGGCCAGATCTTACACCTTCCAAATGTCCAAATAAATAAATTAATAAATACACACACATACACACACACACACACACACACACACACACACACAGAGCTATCATTTCCATAGTCAAGGACCATCCTTCCAAGATGTCTGTTAAGTTCATTTAGTCCATAACTGTAGGTTCTATCTGTTTAGATGTCTTCCAGGGCAAGAGGGCTGATGAGCTGTTAGCTGGTTGCAAGCTGCATCAGCAGCTCACAACTGGTGTATCTGGAGCAGGCCATACTCATTGTCTATGGTAGTTATGGCATACAGTGGCAGTGTCATTCAGCAACCAATAACATACAATTCAACATTACAGTGTTCTCACCCAAAAATCAAATCCCCTTGAGGTACACATGGTGTTTCCCTAACCTACCAAGTGCACCCAAGTCCTTGAGCAAAAACAATCTCACAGATGAGTTTGCCTTTGCTTGAGGTGGCACTAATCCAAACTGTCTTCCCTAACATAAATTTCTCATTTGCACCATGGGGACTTTATCCTCTTGTACCGTATGTGGAGGTTTTGATTGGACAGGGCCAGCTTGGTTATTGGAGACTCTAGTGTTAACTAACCAGGTGGGCTCTGCTAAATGTAGATCCCAATGCTTGAAGGTCCCACTACCCATTGCTTTCAATGTGTATTTTAACAGTCCATTGTACTATTCAATTTTCCCAAAGGCTGGTACATGATAGGGAATATGACATACCCACTCAATAACTACTCTCTGGCCCAAGTGCCTATGAGGCTACTTTTGAAATTAGTCCCATTGTCTGACTCAATCCTTTCTGGGGTGCCATGTTGCCAAAGGACTTGCTTTTCAAGGCCCAAGATGGTGTTCTGGGCAGTGGCATGAGGCACAGGCTATATCTCCAGCCTCCAGTGGTTGTTGCCACCACTGTAAGCACATAGCACTTGCCCTGGTGGGTTTGCAGGAGCGTGATGTAATAAATCTGCCAGGCCTCCCCATATTTATATTTCGACCATCATCCACCATACCACAGAGCCTTTACCCACTTGGCCTGCTTCATTGCAGTGCATGTTTCAGTTATGGATAACCTGGGAGATAGTGTCCATGGTTAAGTCCACCCCTTGATCACAAGCCCACCTGTATGTTGCATCTCTTCCCTGATGACCTGAGGCGTCATGGGCCCACCAGGACAGAAATAATTCACCTCTATATTGCCAATCCAGATCCACCTGAAGCTCTTCAATCTTGGCAGCTCAATCCACTTGTCCTGTTTTGCAATATTCTTCAGTGGTCTGACTCTTGAGTACATGTGCATCTACATGGTGTACTTTGCCAGCCAACTTCTCTACCTGGGCAGTGATATCTTGCCACAATTCAGCAGCCCAGATGGGGCTACCTCTGTGTTGCCAATTGGTCTTTTTCTACAGGTCCAACCACCCCCACAGAGCATCTGCTACCACCCATGAGTCAGTGTAGAGGTAGAGCATTGGTCATTTCTCTTGTTCAGCGATATCTAAAGCCAGCTGGACGGCTTTCAGCTCTGCAAACTGACTTGATCCTCCTTGTCTCTCAGTGGCTTCTGTGACTTGTCACATAGGCCTTCATACAGCCACTTTCCATTTTCGATGTAGCCCTACAATACAGGAAGAACTGTCAGTAGAGTGCATTATTTTTCATTTTCAGGTAGCTGATTATATCACATGTCACCTTCTCCTTTGATGATGATAGTGTGAAATTTTTGTCTTCAGGTCAGTTCATGATGACTTCCAAGATCTCAGGGTGACTGGGGTTTCCTAGTCAAGCTTGCTCTGTGATCAGCCTGACCAACTTTCTCCACATGGCATCAGTGGCATGATGTGTGGAAGGGACTTTTCCTTTGAACATCCAGCCCAGTACTGGCAGTCAGGGTGCCAGGAGAGCTGTGCTTCAGTGCCAATCCCTTCTGAAGCAGCTTGAACCCCTTCATAAACTGCCAGTATCTCTTTTTCAGTTGGGGTGTATCAGGTCTTGGATCCTTTGTATCCCCAACTCCAGAACTCCAGGGGTCATCATCGAGTCTCCCTGACTATTTTTTGCCAAAGATTCCAGAACAGACCATTCTCCCTGGCTGCAGTGTAGAGCACATTTTTCAGATTTTGTCCTGTCCTGACTGGCCCAAGGGCTACTGCATGAACAATCTTCTGTTTAATTTGTTCAAAAGCTTGTCGTTCTTCAGGACCCTACTTAAAATCATTCTTCTTCTGTGTCACATGATAGAGAAGGCTTACAGTCTCACTGTAATCTGGAATATGCATCATCCAAAAACCCACAGCACCTAGGAAGGTCTGTGTTTCCTTCTTGCTGGTTGGTGGGAACATAGCTGCTCTTTTGTTGACCACGTCCATTGGAATCTGACAACATCCATCTTGCCATTTTATTCCTAAAAACTGAATTTCCTGGGCAGGTCCCTTGACCTCACTTTGCTTTATGGTAAAACCAGCCTTCAGGAGGATTTGGATTATCTTCTTCCTCAAAAACTTCCTCTGCTGTGTTGCCCCACATAATGATGTCATTACTGTACTGGAAGTGTTCTGGAGCCTCACCCTTTTCCAGCGCAGTCTGGATCAGTCCATGGCAAATACTGGGGCTGTGTTTCCACCCCTGGGACAGTCAGTCCAGAGGTACTGGACGCCTCTCTAGGTGAAAGCAAACTCTGGCCTACACTCTATGGCCAAAGGAATGGAGAAAAGGCATTAGCAATGTCAATGGTGGCACCACTTTGCTGCCTTAGACTTCAGTTCATACTGAAGTTCCAGCATGTACAGCACAGCAGCACTCAGTGGTGGCATGACTTCGTTCAGGCCAAAGAGTCCACTGTCAGTCTCAGTTCTCCATTGGGCTTATGCACTGGTCATATAGGATTGTTAAAGGATGAGCGAGTCTTGCTGACTACTCCTTGGCTCTCCAGTTCACAAATTATCTCATGGATGGGATTCACGGGGTCCCGGTTGGTGTGGTATTGTTGATGGTACACTGTTGTGGTCACAATCAGTACCTGTTGTTCTTCCATTCTCAGCAGTCTCACAGCAGAAGGGTGCTCTAAGAGACCAGGCAAGGCATTCAGCTGTCTAATTTCCTCTGTCTCCACAGCAGCTAACCCAAAAGCTTGACAATGCCTGTTTGGGTCTTTGAAATACACTCTCCTGATGTAATCTACACCAAGGATGCACTCTGGGCCAGTCTTAATGGGGTGTTTTTGCCATTTGTTCCCAGTCAGGCTCCCTTCAGCTTCCAGTACAGGCAGCTGTTGGGATCCCCTTGTCTCCCCAGTTAAAGCCTCTTGTGGGTCTGATGTGCCAGGCCATCAGATTCACACAGTCCAGTAGATCCGACAGTCCCTTTCCTCTACCTGGCTGGAGGCAGGGTCCCTCTAATTCTGGTCATGGTACTTGTTGCACAGCTCTTGTAAATATGAACTGGAAGTCCCTTCAAGAAGATCGAAAGTAACATCAGCCCTTCTAAGTCTGAGGACTTGCCCCCTGGAAACTGGAATGGCATTTATCCTTGTAGAATTTCCTGTGGTGGTTGTTCTTCCTCTCAACTCACGTACCCATGCTGCTAGGGCAGAGGTGGGTTTTCCATCCCACTTCCTCATGTCCTGTCCATGGTCATGCAGGTAAAACCATAGGTTATCTCATGGTGTGTACCCTCTCTCTCAAGCAGGGGTGCTGCTTGCTCCCAATAGCAAAGACTCTGGTCTGTACTATCAGAGCATGGGACACATCTATAAACTGCTGGTAGTCCTCTTTAAACTGCTGTAGGTCCTTGGACAGTCTTTCCAGAGACAAGACATGAGTGCGTAGGTTAGAGGTAGTTTCTTCATATAGCCAGAGTTTGGTAACCAAATTATCCACGCTTTGTTCCCCTTCTTTCCATGATATCACTGCCAATGAGTTGGCACACAGCAATGGCATGTTCCATACAAACTTCTACCACATGGTTTGTGTACACTGGACTTCATCTTGATCTACAGGGGACTGCTTGTCATTTGAATCCCTTTAAACTACCTCCAGCAAATCTAATTTTCTCAGGTACTGGACACCTTGCTCCATGGCATTCCACCTGCTTGGGGAAACTACTACATCCTTGAAAAGATACCTTTCCTTCACGCTTGACAGGAGTCACCTGCAGAAGCTGAGAGGCTCTCAGCCTCTGCAGGTGACTCCTGTCAGGCCCTCTTGTCAATGATCCCATCCCAGGACAGGAATCCCAGTTGCTTGGCTTCACTGCCATCTAGTTTCACATCATATCCAGCAGGTCACTTTATTATCAGTAATCACCCCATCAATGGGCTGGATGAGATCCTGCTACATTCCCTAGAATTGCAGTGGATTGATTTGAGCATTTGTCTGTACCAACTGGCAGATGCCTGGATGACACTTTAGTTCTAACCTTGGTAGCTCCAATGGTCCAGGTGGCTGAAGCACTGTTAGACTACTCAAGGAAGAAGACAGAAAGCCTAGATCGCTATGAAACATCACAATAGCAGCGGAAAAAAATATTTTGATAGATACTTCATTTTAAGGTGACCTGAAGTGAAGGCCTAACAATATGCTGTTATGAGCCTTTAAATGCCATTGTGACAAAAGCATTTCATCAATACAGCTTTATAAGAAATTCATGTAGAGAACAAGGAAATATTCTAGTTAAGCCCAGTATCCTGTAAAAAAACAGCACAGAAAAAAAAAAGTAGCATTATGTCAGGATTGAAAGTAAGCAGAATCATCCTCAGTAGAAGAGAATAGCTAGAGACGAAAGAAGGTTATCATCAGCATTTTTACTGACAGTTAATTCAGTAAAGGTGGTCCTTGGAACTCCTGCAAAGAAAACAACTCACTGTTCAGCCAGCCTGCCTACCTTCATGTATGCATCTGAGAGAGAGAGGCTAAATGCATGAAAAGAATGATGTCCATACACTTTAATTTGCCTACTATTGAGATGAGAACAGTTTACTTACAAAATCTGGAGGTATTCACACAGAAAAATATAAATCCTTCTTTTGGTAGCAGGAGAATAGATAGCACACAATGGGAGCCTGGGAGGAGTGTTGCTGTGATGGTTTGACACTGGCTGGATGACAGGTGCCTACCAAAGCCACTCTATCACTCCCCTCCTCAACTGGACAGGGGAGACAAAGTATAGGTCTATGAGTTGAGATAATGACAAGGAGAAATCACTCATCGATTATCATCATAGGAAAAACAGACTCGACTTGGGGAAATTAATTGAATTTATTACCAATCAAAATCAGAGCAAGATACTGAGAAGTGAAACAAATCTTAAAAACAGCTTCCCCCCAACCCTCCCTCCTTCCCAGGCTCTACCTCCTCCTCCTGGAGAGGCACAGGGAGATGGGGAATACGGGTTACAGGCAGTTCATCACATGTTGTTTCTTCTGCTGCTCAGAAAGAGGAGTCCTACCCCTGCTCAAGCATGGGGTTCCTCCCATGAACTTCTTCAACGTGAGTCCTTCCTGCAGGCTACAGTTCTTCCTGAACTGCTCCAGGGTGGGTCCCTTCCATGGGGAGCAGCCCTTCAAGAATAGGCTGTTCCAGTGTGGGTCCCACATTGGGTCACAAGTCCTACAAGCAAACCTGCTTCTCTCTCCATGGGTCCACAGGTCCCTGCAAGGAGCCTGCTCCAGCATGGGCTTCCCACAGGGTCACAACCTTCTTTCAGGCACCCACCTGCTCCAGCATGGGTTTATTCCATGGGCTGCAGGTGGATCTCTGTCCTCCCGTGGTCCTCTATGGGCTGCATGGGAACAGCCTGCCTCACCATGGTCTTTACCATGGGCTGCAGGGGAATCTCAGCTCTGGCACTTGGAGCACCTCCTGCCCCTCCTTCTTCACTGACCTTGGTGTCTACTTAGTTGTTCCTCTCATGTTTTCTCACCCCCCTCTGAGTGCAGTTACATCTGTGCAATAACTTACTTTCCCCTTATTAAATACATTAACACAGAGGCATTACTAGCCTAGTTGACTGGCCCAGCCTTGGCCAGCAGCGGGTCCATCTTGGAGCCAGCTGGCATTGGCTCTGTCAGACAATAGGGGAAGCTCCTAGCAGCTTCTCACAGAAGCTACCCCCGTAGTCCCCCTGCTACCAAAACCACGCAAATCTAATACAGTTGTAATAATCTGACCCAAGTCTACTCTTGCACTATTAAATGGAAGAGGTAGTATTTATTAGTCTTAATCATCTTGAAAGGAGGATTTAAAATCAATATAGGTAAAAGGAAAAAGTGTTATGATTGCCTACTTTGTCACATGAATTTAAAAATGTGAAAAGAACTCCTCTGTGATGTCTACTTTTATGTTTAATATCAATTCATGTTTCACATGCTAGGTATCTACTAGAAGCCTTCTGAAACCAGGACCCACAGTTTGAGTTTTTTACTCGTCTGTGCTACGGCTTCTGTACACTCATGAGTTGTGCTAGCTGAAGAGCTTGAGGAAACCATATTGTTCTGGAAACAATGAAATCTCTAAGGATGACAAACTCCCATTCACTAATGGGAATTAGTGAATTCCTAACTAATAGGAATTAATATTATTAATCAAGTACTGTTGAGGAGAACAGGTAAAGGAAACTTATCCATTACATAGCACAAGCATTATGGATGGTGCCAAGGACATTTTCTTAGCCCCTAGTTCTCCGATCCTGCACATACCTACATATCAGTATGCTGACAATCACCTCAGCAGCACCCTGTTTCCATATCATCTCCTTCCCCACCACTTCTCTTCTCCCATTCTCCTCTGATCATCCAGACACCATTTTGCTAACACCCTCCTCTCTTCAGACTCTTCTTACAACTAACATGAAACCAAAAGGAAAAAGAGGAAGGAATCGGAACATATTTCAGAAACCTCAGCATTTATTTTGGCAACAGTAAGGCTTTTCCCATTGTTTCACTGATCATTCAATGGAGAGGCAAGAGTCTCTTGCTCAGAAGCCACACCAGCGGATACAGCTGCCCAGTTCTCGGATGGCTGGGCTGGAGGATATTGTACAATGACAAAGGACAATTGTTTACACCCACAGATGGGAGCAGGATGAACAAATGTTTCTCAGGGGAACCAAGGAAAACCAAAACTTTCCCTTCAAGTTCCATTGGTTTAAAAACAAACAAGGCAAATGTTTCCACAAATAAGTGCAAACCATACAGTTCCCCAGATCAAAGTTGAGAGCTCTGCTCTGAAGCTGGAGGTACATTCATGGGGAATGGGAAAAAAATGGTATTTTACAATGGCAATACTGTAATACGGTTTTAATTAACACATTCTCCTTTGATTACTTTTGATTATTTTTACATTATCCATTGAGTCAAGAGTGTTTATCTTAG